ATTAACTCAAACGTTCCCAAGTACAGCCATCACTAAATTCAACGCAATCAGTGGAGTTTAGTTACAATTTTGAAGATATTCTTGTCCTCTTGCAATGCTATCGACAAGCGAAAAAAAAGTCCATTTGGCTCAGCACCTTGTTTGCACAAGACCAATTCATGTCGTGTGATTAAATAATGAGCGCGAGCGGAAAAGCGGATGTTGACCATAACATCAAACGATGTTCATGGAAAGTGTGTTGACGAAATCTCTGGCGGCATATGGCTCGCGAGTGTCTTGGTTTGTTAGTCGAATGTGTAGCCATTCTTTAGCTGACGCGGATATGAACGCAGCGGCGATAGAGAGAGAGAGAGAGAGAGAGAGAGAGAGAGTGTTTGTGTGTGAGAGTGAGGAAGAGAGATAGGATTTGATTTCAAAAGCTATATCATTTTATCATTTTGATTGGAATGTACGGGTGTTTAAAAAACGCGCGTGTGATGCAACTGCGAAAAAAGGGGTTGTTTTTATGTTGATTCATATTCCCTTATTCACAGTTTATATCCGTTGCCATTGTTTTACATAATTTTTTTTTGTTCGTTTTCTTCGTGTTTTTTGCGCCACGTTTCTTAAGTTTGGCCAGTATTTTTTTTTCTGTCTCTTTGTATTTTCCGCAATAATTCCGTCGTTTTTAGTACTTTTTAAGCTTCATTCTCTTCAATCCCCTACACAAAAAGTGGATATTATTATGTTGTTATGCATAACTTTATTAGGATAATACGACAAAAAACGAGCCAACGAGAAGAATTCCTTTTCTTCAATTTTTTATTATTCCGGTACCCACACTTTGTCATTTTTGCAATAAAGACGAATGGCATATAAACGGAGAGAGAGAGAGAGAGAGAGAGAGAAGACGGCAGAGGTAAGGGTGGATGGGTGGAAAAAGGTGCTTCTGATGTTGGCCTGAACCAAACGGATTTGCCGATTTGTGTGTACGTGCTGGGTGCGCTTTAAATACTGCAATAAATAAAATTAGTGGAAGCAAAAAAATCAGGAAAAATTGCAAAACGCAAGGGTTTTTCGCTCGTTTCAATGTCCGCATCGGTGATATTGACAATGTTCGAAATAAGCTGCAATGACCAACAGCCATCAAATCGATTGGCACAGATTTTCGTCGCAATTTTCAAGTGATTTGTGAACAAGCTAAGGGGTATTTTCCCCATTCGGATTTAAGCAAAAATTCTACGAAAAGAATTTTCTTCGGAATGAACGTCGTCAAAAGGTGCAATTGCAATGGAAATTCTGATTTTAAGAAGACGAAGAATAAATTGTAGACAATTGGTTGTGTCTCACTCAGAATAACAGCGAATACTTGAAGAACAAACAAAGTGAATAAAAGTGACGAACTCAAATCAAAATGAAAATGGAATGGAAGAGGAAAAAAAAGAGCGGAATAAAGTATAGAAAATGAAATACAACCGTATATAGTAAAATAGAGATTTCGTTTTTCTGCTCGATGGAATACGACGGTTTGTTTGTCTGAAAGAGCACTGACCGCATAATAAATTGAATCTGTTGACAACAACTAAAATGCCATGCTCATCGTCATGCACACACACACTGAATCGCCACTGAAAATGAACTGCACTCACATAAAATTGAAATTTATGACAACCAAATGTTGAGATAAAGAGAGTGCGAATGGGAGAGAGAGAGAGGGAGAGAGATAGAGAGAGAGAGAGAGAGAGAGAGAGAGAGAGAGAGAGAGAGAGAGA